TGAAAAACCCAGGAAAAAAAAAAAAAAAAAAAAAAAAAACTAAAAAAAAAAAAACAATAACAAAATGGAAACACCGCAAAACATAGGGTGAACATTTTTGTTGATTATTATACAGATTATTGATGAGTACTGTCAATTCAGTGTCCTGTTTACATGTCCCCTCAGGAATATCCAAAAAAAGGGAGAAAAAAAATCTCAGATATGTCTCTGAGCCTGAGTGCATATCAGCTCCTTAAGCCTGTGATTAATGTAGTCGTGATTTGCATGACCATTAGTTACTTCATGTGCCAAAATGTTGAATAGGTGCAGTGCTTAAACAAAACAGGAATGCACACAAACTGGCCACTCCATAACAATGGTTTACACTACTTGATTGTGCCATACTTTTTTGAAAAAGTATACAAAATATTTCTACGGTATAATAGTTATACCATATTTGAAGTAAGTAGCACAAAACTAAAATACACGAGGGTGTTTTGGCCCTTTTTTCCCCCAAAAGCACAAAACTTAAAAATACAGACTTCTCCGATGCTAGGGCAATGATGCGGTGACAGTTTGCGTCAAAGGCAGCTAGCTACATGCGAAAAGCGTTTGGTCACGTTAAACATGTTTACTAAGAGGAGATACATAAAATGTGAAATGGCTATGTCCTTTGAATTTTGTACAATGTTATTTTACTGCAGTTTTATCTGGAACTTTACTGTAAAATTGTATTGTGTAAAACATGTAACCGTGAATGTCTGTACTCCATTATTAAATTTTTGTCTAAACGTTGACATATTTGAAAAACAATTGCTGTTTTCTGCAATAATATTTTGATCTCTGAAACACATATCTAATGGAAATTATGAGTGAAGAGGATTATAAAAAGGAATATAAAACAAATAGAATTTATGTCTCGTAAGAAATAATATTGTTTTGTATATTTTTAACTGTTACACTGCCTAAAATTATAACATAGGACATGTATTTAAATGGTGTCATACAAAAAAGCACGATTGTTATGTAAAATGTATGAATAAACAGAAAATATTCGTAGTCTATAATCTGTGTGTTGATTTTCAGTCTTCACTAAATGCCATTTGTTAGGAGCCTGTATTTTACAATGACAGTCTAATTGTTTCGAACAGTATCCCTTAAACATTATACAAATAAAGACATCAAAGAATACAATACAATAACCAATAAGCTGCAATTAACTGAAATAATGGCTGAAATAATGAACGTGTTAAAAATACAAATCCAGCTCTGTCTGTTGTATTATTTAGTTTTGCAGGTACTTGTAGTCCCATGAGTAATTGTCAAAGAAAAGAATGGATACACATAATACAGATTACTATTTAGATTTCAACCAATGCATTGATCAGTTGAACAGTTAAATGAACCATGCTTTTTGGGAGTCAGTGAATTTAACATAGTCATTTTTAGCATTGGTGATGTTCACTTTGTTACCATATATTTTTAGAGTGTATGTGGTTTAGTTGATTGAATGAATCCAGTGTAATTTTGTGGATTATACAGAGTATTTAATCACAAAGAGAGAGGTACCCATGTTGTTGTGGCAGAATGGCAATATAATCCATTCTTACATTTCTAAATAATTTAAATATGGTTGTTTTGTCAAGAAAGGCAATATCATTTATTAAAGTATGTGTCTATGCTGATTGTTAAACTAGCTGTAGTGTAATAACATTGTCTGATTTGTTAAAAAGTTATTTGAACCGTTTTATTTAATGAATCTGCTGAAAAAGATTTAGCTACCTTAAATCAAAAATCATTGTTCTTATGTCAGATTCATTCATTTTGTTTCCTAAATGAAAAGAAGATATTTAAAATGGAGGCACAAAAAAAGTGTAATAAAAGTTACAAGAAACATGTAAGATCATATATTTTGTGTGCTTGTGAAAGGGGATTTGTCCTACAAGATTTGACGTAAATTAAACAGACCAATCAAGATCTTGACAAAATATTTTATCACTTATGTGTGGCAAAGAGACTCTTTGCCAGAGCAGAACATAAAAAAATACACCCTATTTTCAAGAATTATGCTTAGATTCATGCACAAGCTAAAGCGTAAGTGAAGTGCAGGAAAATGCATGAGATAACACAGGACCAATCGAGTAACATTCTTTTACTACACAAACACTGACCAAAATAAACATGAGAATGATTAAAGAAAAATAATTGAAGACAAGCAGTTTTGTTATAGTTCTCCCAATGACTTGTACAGATGTTACTACCCTGGGACATTTTAACACTTATTTAACACTCACATAATGAGCTAAAATGAAATATTAGGCTTACATTTACATTTCATTTAGGCATTTAGCAGCCGCTTTTATCCAAAGCAAAGTACAAAGGATGACAACAGAAGCAATTAAAACCAACAAAAGAAACTGAGAATACTAGTGTTAGATGCTCTATTTTTTAAATAATACGTATTGTATAGAGTGCAAGTGTTAAAGGATCAAGTGTTTTTTTTTATAAATAAATAAAAAGAAAATGAGTAGAGAGAATAGAAATAGAATAGAGAGTGCTAGTATTAGAGGGTCAAGTAAAGTAAAATTACATTGAAATGAAATAAACAGAAATATTTGATTGATTAATAGAAAAATACATATCACTCAATAATTGAATAATTAACAAATCAGTAACTACAACTGGGACAGTTTGTTTTCATGATCAGACAGCAGTAATGATTCACAATAAAATAACGATATTCACAATAAAAGAATTTCAATGGCCAGTCAACAAGAACACAGGACAATTTATCACTGTAGAGCATAGGCGCCACAGCTATTGTGCATTCGCTTGCCTCAATCCCACATAAATGGAACAGATTGCAGAAAACTACTGTTAACAATGGATTAATTAATTTAAGTAAGAGTAATGTTATACATCAAATGACAAGGAAATTTATATTAAGTGTTAATATTAATCAGCAAATCCCCACAAATCATTCTCTCGGATGTAAATGTGGAACAAAGAACTGACAGCTCAATGCTACTTGAAGGCTAAATGTCAAAAGTCTTTCATCCAAGTACAGTCAGTGCATCTGGGCCCTCCTGGCGGATCTGCTGGCTTGAAGACATGACATGACTGAATAATACAACCCCTGCTAACACTCCTTTTCTTTTACATCACATCTCCACTCAATAATGCTCTTAACAATGCTCTCATTCTATCTGTAAGATGTGGTACAGCAGTGTCACGTGGTAAAAACAAATCAGTAGTCAGGATGCTTGAAGAGAAGATCATCAGAGAGGATATAGAATGGTGTCAAGACACCTCATATTCCAGTTCTTCATGTACCTAAAAGTTTGATTGCCCACCTCTGAGGGATCAAAAGATTGCACTAAAGATTCAAACAATGGAGCTGTCTACAACATAAATAGTTGGTTATAAAGAAAATCGGATCTGACAGCAGTGAAAAACACTAAACTCTTGGTACATTTCACACCCTACTGTTCACTATGGAAAATAACCCAACATAATTTCAGGGTTGTGCACTTCATCAGAAGTCCAGGTGAACAAGCCCAGTTTTCTTTACATGTGTGTTTTCCCATGTGTGCCTGTTTCTGTTCCAGATCTTCACATACGGTTTCTCTGAGTTTGCAAGCTGATCATTACCAGCTCTGCCTTATTTCTTCTTCTCGTCTTAGATTTATACTTAATGTCTACACATTATTTGCCAGATTGTGCTTCCATTTACCAGAATCAGTTGCAGCATCTCCCAGGCTTTTTGACTTAGTTTGACTCATTTCTTTGGATTACTTTATCTGTCTTTTGATTATGAGTCTGCCTGCTGCTTTAGTCTGATTATCTGGCTTTTTGCTGCACTGTTTTTACTCTGTGTCCTTTTTTTTGTGGGAACTCTTGGGCCTCTGAAAAGGCACAAGGCAGGAGCTTGTGTGTACAACATGAACAACTTTTTCAACTTCCTTGGTAAAACTTCCTTACAACATTCAGGAGAAGTTCAAGAGACTTAGTATTTTACACTACTAAGAAGTAAAAGTATCTAAACTGAGGTCATTATCAGTTACTACCTCCCTTGGAAGAGCATAAGAATCCAATACATTTCACATCAAGCTGAAGCAAACGTCCATTAGAGCTCAATAATTTTGTAGAAAAAAATGCCGTGTACATTTACATTTATTCATTTGGCAGACACTTTTATCCAAAGTGACTTACAGTTGAGGAAAACAACAAGCGATTCATCATAAGATAGCAATAAACAGAAGTGCCAATTTTCAGTCATCGTTCAAAACAATAAAAGCTAGCACAGGAAGATATTAAAGGAAAATAAGAGCATAAAAAACTGAAAGAAGTAGAATGTTTTTTTTTTTTTTTTTAGGAGGAGGCAGTTAGATGCTCATGGAAGAGATCACTTTTCAGTTGTTTCTTGAAAGGGATTCCACCAACAGGGTACAATGAAAGACAACGTCCTTGAGAGTGATTTTGTGCCTCTGCGATGGGACCACGAGCCGCCACTCATGTAACAACCGCAGGCTGCTGGAGGGGATGTAGATTAGGATGACCATACTTTAGTTTTCCAAAAAGAGGACAGTAGGGGGCGGGGACAAGGGCGGGGCTTCGCCTAACAGTATATGTAGCAAGGTTTTTTTGTTTGTTTGTTTGTTTGCTTATTTTGTTTTTATAATAAATAAAAAGAAAACAAGTAGAAAGAATAGAAAAAGAATAGGGAATGCTAGTGTTAGAGGGTCATTTTTAAATAAAAAAAAAACAAGTAAATAGAACACGAAGCAAGAAGACTTATTGCAATTGTAAATGCAGACCATAGTCTTGCATTTCGTGGCCACTCCGACAGATTGTTTGGATTTCTCTACTCTACTGAAATAATGAGAAGCACTGAGAATGAAGGGAAGCTGAAT